CCATGGTAGAGGGTGAAAGGGGAAGATATTGCTCGTCAGATAAGGATAATGGATTTGGCTTAGTTTCAGAACGCATATGGCCAAAATTTTTTTCTTGTATTTCTTAAGATATATCTTTCAAAATTAGTTGAGAAGATTGATTCCAGTTGGCTAAAATTCCTGGGAGAACTCAGGCTTCAGAAAGGAGTAATAATGAAAATGGTTTTAGTGGATTGAATGAAAACTCTTCTGATCACTCTTTCCCAGATGATTTTTATTTTCATGTACTCATTTCCCAGTGAAAATGCAATACTTCTCTGTGATTATAAAGGCTGAGCTTTACTGGAAAGACTTGTAGACCTTAGTCGAAATATTTTCCCACACTATACAAATGTTGGATAGCTACCCGATAGGTCTGTTGCCAAGAGAATCATGATAGGTGACATTTGCCCCATGGAGGGTAGTTTGTTTAATTTTCTCACTATGGGATAATCCAACTGTCCCTTAATCATCTCCTATGATTTACTTTTTGGATTTTATTTTGTAATGTAATATCTTAAGTAACACACTTTTAAACATTGCCTATGTTTAATAATTTTAACCTTCAAAAGTGCATTATCTTGCTAGAAATAAAGCTAAGAAAGTATCTTTCAATAAGGTTATAATGATTTCAAAAAGGCCTAATATAGAATAACCTCTCATTGTTTATTATTATATGTATTCTTTCTTTTCTGTATCAAGTGAAATTGGTGTACTAGGAACAGTTTCTGGTATTTAACATTTTGGGTGAATTTTGGGTGCATCTTAAGCATGCAAATAATAATTGTAATTAAAAACAGAAGGTATGATAAAAAGAAAACATTTTCTAGTCCCATTGGGCTAATGGCTATAGTGCTTACAGGTTGGTATAAATCTGGTATGAGACACACATTGATCATAGACTTCAAGGCTCAGATTGGTACAAGGTGCCTGAGAGATCTTTCCAGAACCAGTGAAGGAGGGAATACTTTCTACTGGCTTCCTGCCAAATAGCCATGTGCGCAAATACTTACAGTGAAGAAATAACTATTATCTGTGCAATTTCTCTTTAAATTATTTATTTACCTAAAGCTATAAATTTATCTCAAAAAATCTTTAGTCTTATCCAACATTATAACCTATGTGATACAAATATTCCTTTCAAATTCAAGTTAGGCACACATTAGACAGGATGCCTTCTGTGTCCCCAGGCGATCCTCATTCTAGGCAATCTGTGCAGCAATCCTCTTCTGGTGAAGTTCCAAGCTACCTACATACTCCTAACTTATTTTTATTAACTGTACACTTCCTTATATAATTAGCTCTTTCATCAGGTTTTTCAAATTGATTTTGAATTGCATAAAATGAGATGACACCAGTATTCAAAAATATTGCATAATATTATATAGCACTTATGGAAGAAGATTTAATAGTTCAGTTGCAGCATTAAAATGCAGGAAGTGCAATAATCAACATCAAGGACAGGCATCCTAGAAGATGGGTAGATTTCAACACCAATAAAATACTTTGCAATTGTACTCAAATTTATATCTAAATTGAAGAAGAAAGTTTTGAGAATCAGAAGAAAATCTTGGAATTTAGTGTTCTGAATTAGAGTTTAGAAGAAAAATAGTCATGGAATAGATTCACAGTAATCACTAGCTGAAATGAATCAGTAGAAATAGGAACATTTTTCACATAACTTGAGTATAAGTTTTGAGCCAAACCAGGAATAAAGATATAAATGTGCTAAATTTTTACATTGCTGAATCTGCTGTTTTGTATTTTGTTCTTTTGTATAGGAAATGGCATTAAATTCACAGCACCAGCCAGGACTGTCTATGTCTGCAGTTAAACTTAATTTGATGGACTTAGCAATGCAGAACTGGACAAGTCGTTATACCAGAATTTAATTTATTAAATTGGTGGATGTTGCTTGTAAGATGTCTCCCTGGATTTCTGAAGATTTTATTTACATAAAAAGTTTACTTGAGATTTCCTCCTATATTATCTAGCACATAAATAGCGTATCAAAACAGGACAACTATATAATGCTTGATGCCATAGTATTATTCTGGTTCTGTAACACTAATGTTTTAATGAAATATTATTTTATTTTTTAAGTTTAGACTACCATCTGCACAAAAACCCAAAGTGCTAGATAATTATATTTTATACTTACATCTATTATATTAGTACAGCTTAGTCTACTGTACAATAAACTACAGTAGAACTACTTTGTGCTTCAAACACTAGTTTTAAAACCTGAGTTCACCATGAGGTGTCAGACATTATTCAAGGCAGAGTGTAAGTCACAGTAATCTGTCAAAAGCAGGTGACAATGAATATTCTACCCATTTCATATAATGCTGTAACAATCACAATAACTGACATATATGAAAAGTAAGTATGCAAACTACAGAGCTTTTGCTTTATCTCTGTTCTATTTCAAATGTTATTAATGGAACTACCTTTATCAACATCAAAAAGATTGACTATCCTTATGACTACTATGTCCATTCAGTTTGGAAATTTCTTCATACATATGGCTAGTAATGTAATCTTCATTTCGCTTCCTATCATTCCACATAATATGAGTTACAAAGTATGATCAAAAAATGTTGAGTGCTTGACTTTTTTCACTGTTAAGACACATTGACATTAACTGCCTCAAAACACTCCAATTTGAACATACTTATCCATCAAAATTGCCACTTTCTAAAGCAGGCCTGTTTTGTGAGTGTCTAGCTGTACCGTCATGACTTTCCTAATGTCCTGAATCAATCAAAACATTAGCCTTTCATGATCATTTTTACTTTTGGAAAATGCTAAAAATCGTAGTGTCAGATCCATTGAATAGTATCGATGAAGATGCACCATAATATTTTCTGAGCCTGTACATTTCACTGTATTTTTTGCCATAACTCACAAAAATAATCACAAAATAGGAGCTCCAGAACTGCTTCATGGAGTGGCAAAAATGGTGGGATTCATTCACACGTTAAAGGCAAGGTAGAGTGTGTCCCAGGGCATTAATGGCAGCTGGAGTCTCCTGTCTGGCGCTCTTCAGGGAAGTTTCCTGTTTGGTCTCTTTGAGTCTCTTGGGGAAGAAGAAATTCTACTTCTCACTGTTTTGAATCTTTCTTAGCTTTGCTTCTCTATTTTGTTTTTCCTCTCTCAATATTTGGCTTGATAAAGCTTTCTAGAAAGCTGTAATGAAACTTACAATTATTTAAGAATGTATTAAATTTTATTACTGTTACGTCTGTGATTTTAGGAATCATGTTTAACCAAGGAACAATTTCTTCAGATAAATAGATTTTTAGGAGATCAAGATGCTTAGCTAGAGGTGAAGCTGCCAAATTTGAAGCACGAATGGATGCACAGGCACCCTTGCTTACATGTGTGTGTGTGTGTGTGTGTGTGTGTGTGTGTGTTTGAAAAAGACATCTGTAATCTTACTCTTTCATTTCTTCCCTTAGAAAACAGTGAAGTACATTTTAGGAAGTACATTTTAGTCCTCCCAGAGTGGGACTTGAAAATAAATGCTCTATTTCTGTTGTCTTTGTGACTTTATATCACAGTAAAAATGCAGAGACTTCTGAGGAGTGATTTTGCTCTAATGTAAACTTGGCAGGAAGACTTGCTGAAGTAGATAAGAATGGGAATAATGTCCCTGTTTGTTATTATAAAGAGAGTATTTTCATTCTAATTCTCTCTCTCTCTCTCTCTCTCTCTCTCTCTCTCTCTCTCTCTCTCTCTCTCTCCCTCTTCCTCTCCCTCTCTTTTCCCTCTCCCTGTCTCTCCCCCCACCCTGCCTACTGCCAGCCCCAAGTTTTTCTCTTTCTCAGTAGTCACTATTTGTCAGAAAAGGCAAACTTACATTCTGAAAAATTCCACAGATATTATATTCTTTCCTCATTTCTTAAAAGATTGCAACTTTTATTTCCTTCCCAGGTCACATTGTACAATAGCCACTTGTCACCCATCTAGATAAAATTAGCAGATTATATTTGCATAGACATATTTATTAGATAAATATTCTCAAGTTAGCAAGGGCTAAACAAATAAAAACCTGATAAGAATTATAAGAAATCAATATTTTAAAACTAGTCTATTTGGATGTACTCGTAATTATGCAAAGGCTTCACTAAGACTTAATTTTATTAATACTTCAAATTTGTTAAGCATTGATTGAGCCTCTACTTTCTTTAAAATGCAATGCTAAGAAATAGAGTCACACAAATAGAAATAAGATTTCAAACCCACTAGAAAATAAAAGTAAGCTATAATAGTGACTCACTTAAATTTTAAGCACAATACCCAGAAGAAACGAAGCACTGTGGAATTACGGTGGCAGCCAGTTATTAATACTGACTGATAGGATGGCGGAGGCTTCCTTGAATACATTACATATGAGTTGGAATTGAGCTTTTTAAATAATTTTGAAAAGGAGTTACAAAGAGCCACACAAGGATGTGGATGTGTGATGTCCTTAGATAACAAGTGTTCTGAAAACCGAGGAGGCTAGTTTTCACTTTAAAGCAGTTACCACTAGGAGCCCGAGCACTTTAGAAGGCAAAATGCACCATTAATAACCATGCTGAAGGGCTGTTTCGCAGCTGCAGGCTCTCCTTGCTTGACACATGTTCAGGGTGTCTTGCTCTGTCAACATTGTGCCGTCTCCAACATCGTTTGTAGGGTACCCTGATTAAAATCTAGACGTGTGAACGCAGTCCAATTCCTGACTTACGCCTCCACCTTTTCAAACTTCCAGCCAAAAAATACTATTCCATTTATAAATAATTCCAAAGTCCAAGAATATCATATAAACCAGTGAGAGTGTCTCAGGAATTGTACAAGACTGTCGTTGTTTATAGAAACAAAGGAGGCCCTAATTATCTTGTACTATTAGGATATTTTTGGTCATTCATAGATCATGTTAAACCACCAGACTCTTCCCGAGATCTCTACCTCCCATCAATGCTGCACAGAACACTTACGAAGAATGCCAGCTGCTCACTTCTTCCAGAGACATCCCTGCCTCTCGGTCACCCTTGGTTTCTTACTGCTTCTCCAGTCTTCTCCAAGTAGCATCAGCTCTGTTCAGAATCTAGGTCTGTTTAGACTCAGAGTTTCTGCTTCTATGCTATTCTGAAAGTCAAAGGAGAGATTTCCCAATTAAACCAGAACATGTGCAGCTATGGTTCCAAATGTGTCACATTAGCTTGGATTCAAGTATAAGTCAGAAAACCTGCAGTCAACCTCCTACTTACATCTGTGAATAAGCACATAAGCAACTGCAGGGCTGTTTAGGCTAAACAGATGGATAGTCCTGTCGGGAACAGATTGCAGTAGAGTGAGGAGGTAGGATGTAATGCCACCCCCTCTGAACTGAGAAACATATTCAGCAGCAGGGAAGACATCCTTTTTAATGTAGCTATTCTTTTTTAATTCTCCACATTTAACTGTTTCTAAGGAAAGATTGCATCTTTTTGTCCTTCGTGCATCTTTGTTAGTTTCATTTTATTTTTTTATTTAATTCTGCTGAATTTAAATAATATTGCATGCACTCATATTAACTCAGCATTATCTGTGCTTATTTCTCCCCTGTATAATTACTACATATAATCAACTGTGTTGATTAACAGAAGTATAAGAAATCATGAGTTACATTTTACATCGAATACACTAAGTAAATGAAGCTGTTGTATTTTAATCAATAATCTGACTATTTTCATATAGAAACATTAGACTGTTATACATCTAAGGCATCTTAAAGTGCTATTCTTTAATATAAGAATATAGATATATAATAAGATATATATATCTAAGAATATAGATATATATCTAATTTTCAAATAAATACTCGATATATCTAATTTAATTGATATATCTAATTTTCAAATAAATACACTCTTGATAGCACATGTAAAATCATTACCTGGAATACACATGAAGTTAATGTTATGTGCTTAATAGATATTACTAAAGCTACAGCCTCTGCTAAATTCATTTTAACAATTTTATCAGGTTATAATTCTACAGTAAAGTGAAGAAAATTTATTTTACCTGAATTCTGTATTATATAATTCTGTCCTTAAAAGTTTTATTTTATAGGTCACTTCAAATAAAGATAAAATTAAAATATAGACAAGAATATGATTTTGTTAGGGTAAATATGTGTAAAACTATCTTAAATCTTATTTAGAGTAATTGTTTTGTTAAGTAACATGGGTCTTTTCTCAGGACAATCATCGTGTTATCAGTTTAATGAACACTGGGAGATAATCATCTGATTCTGATCCTTGACATGAAAGAAAATATGTCATTATTGGTTTGTGAATAATTATGACATATGTACATGCCTTAGTAAATGTACTGAATATCAACTTTTAAGAAATTCTGTCATTAAAAAATGGCACAACTGCCTTTAATAAGATGACCTTATTCTCTATTAGATATCATTGGAAGGCCTTTGAGAATTATTTTTATTTGGTGCTGAATGAAAAAATAATTCAACAAGTAAAGTTACTCATTTTCTGTTTTGAATATTAGGATCCCCTAAAAATCATGTTAAGAAAGAAGACGATTTATTTTATATCTATTATTTATTTCAGTGAAAACTGCTAATATAATTATGCCTACTGAAGGTTTCTCTTAAAGTAAGTTTGTAACATTTTCAAAGCAACTAATTAGAATTTGTACAAACCTTCATATTAGTTGAGTCAATCATATAGATTGAATTGTGTCTTCAAATTTAGAGTATTCATAATTATTTCTCAAATGAGAGAGGTCATCTTCAATTGAAATAGTTACCTAACATTTCAGAGACATCCCTGCCTCTCAATCCAACAAAAGAATGGAAGCCAACAAAAGAATGGAAGTAGAGAATGGCTTGTTGAATAACTTATTTGTATTTGTTGTTTAATTAACATACATTATTAAGCAATGGTATGTGCTGCAGATACAAAAAATTCTAGGAGTCATCTATCTGTTCACAGGGAACTCACAGTCTAATAAGAGATATAGGTATGCAAAGCAAAATAATAATAAAATGTTAATTTTGAAACTGTGGAAATTTTCAGAGTGTTGAAAATTTGGCCTGGTGTCTTCCTGCTACTTGGGAGAGGAGAAAGGTAAACTGATGGGATTACTAGGAAAATAAAACATTCATGATGGTTTGGGAAATCCTCAGCCAATATAGAAGGCAAAAGACTATAATTAAAAGATTTGATATCTAGAAAATGTGCCTTAGAGACAAGATGGAGATTGCATATGAACAACCTTTTGGTAGTGCCTCTTATTGTTCAAACAATCAGACTAAATTGCAAAAGGATTTCTAAGGATTGCGAGTTTGACTTAAATTTCTTCAATCAAACAAGAGAGTATCTAAGAAGCTTAAGGGTCTTATTTTAAAATAAAATTCAGAGAAAAAAATAGAAGAGATTATCCAGGAAAGATGTATGGACTGGTATCTCAACCAATTGAGTAAAAACATGTGATACACACAAAGTTCTTGAGGTTCAAAGGTCAGTACAAATACTACTGAAATGGACTGAAAGAGCAAGAGAAAGTATAAGTTGAAAAAAAAAAAAAAAAAAAAAAAACCTTCAAGAATCCCAAAATTCTTCAACCAGGAAACAGAATGATAAGCACTTATCTAAAAACATATGTTTTCAGAATAAAGTATGGATGACTCAGAGGACACAGCTCATCACAGAAAATCCTTTCCCAGTTGTGAAAACCAGTGCATTTTTCTCAATTGGCTTTTAGAATTGCTTGAGATCATAAGACCTCTTTTCCTTTCAATTTCTATTATTTAAGAACTGGAATGACTATAAGTGCTGTCTAAAACTTTTCAACCATTTAGGAGCAGAAAAACTAGTTCTCTACTTACACAGACCCATGAAGAGAGAATTGTACCGTAGGATAAATTCTTCCCACAACCTCACCTATTCATAATTTAGATGATACGTGTTATGGTTTACATCTAAAATGTTCCCCAAATGTCTCTTGTATTTGGGAGTGATTAGATCTTTGGGGCACTACATCAGTCAAGTAAATTAATCCTTCACTGAGTTCTGTAGCTGAGTAGGCTGATAGGAGAGTGACCTAGAGGCGGGTCACTAGGGATGTGAATTGTAAGGAGTATACTGGTTCCTGGATCCTCTCTTTGTTTCTGCTCCCTGATTCCTATAGAAAAGCAGTCAGTCCCCACCAGGCCATTCCACCATGTCCTTTCTGTCTTGGAGCTAGCTGATTATGAACTGAACTCACTGGACATTGTAAGCCAAAAATCCTCTCCTCATTTAAGTTGTGATGGCAAACAGAAGAGTAACTAATGCAATATATATAGAAAGATCTGAAACTTTTGATGCTGAAATTTAGAGGACATTTAGAATACTGATTTGTAGTTATAAGGGTGTAAATTTGAATAACTGAAATAAGGAGTATGTATTTGGGGTCCATGTAAAATTCAGAGACCAACGAGTAGGTCAGAGTAGGCAAAATAATGCCCCCTTGAAGATATCCTTGAGGTAACCCATTGCATCTGTTAATATATTGCATCAAATAGCAAAAGATATTTTGCAACTGGGATCGAGGCGAGGACCTTGAGATCTGTAGATTTCCACTGATTGTGGGGGTGGACTTTTAATCATGCGAGTTCTTAAAACTATTTCTAGACTGAGGGAGAGAGGTGACAGTATGGGAGGAGTTTGATGCTTTCTCGCATTGCTGAGATGTTGAGCCTTAGGCCAGAGAGAGTCTTCTGGAAGCTAAAATCTACCCTGAGGTGATAACTGTCAAGGAAATGGAGTGCTCAGTCTCCTTGCATGGAAAGGAATTCTACCAACAATTTGAATTATCAGGAGAACAAGTCCTCTCCTAGAGCATTTGGAAATAAATACAGCCATCAAGGTCTACATTGTAGTTTAGTGAGATCAATCAAATTTATGATCCACAGAACTATTAGATGATTAATTTTTTGGTTATTTAAGTCACTAAGTTTGTGATAATTTATTACGACATCAGCAGAATCTAAAACAGAAGTCATAAAATAGGTGAAAGTCAAGCATTATCTTAAAACGAATGAATGAAAATCCACCAAGAAACAGCAGAATGTGGAAGCTCAAATGGTATTGTGTCCGAGGAATTTTTAAAGGTACACTAAGGCAGAGAGGTGAGGGTCTATGCTGTTAAAAGTTCAGTAAGTAAAAAAGCTTTGGGGGAATATATTGGGTCAAACACAGTGCGAGACACATTATTCTTTTGTTTTTTTTTTCTTTTGCTATTGTTATAGGCAGGTGAGTTAGAAATATTAACGCAGTGAGACAGGGCTAGATCCTGTACGAAGCCACTGCTAAAGCCCAAACACTCTGCCACTCTGGGGGAGACAGACACCTCCTACTGTGGGCCAGGCCTCAAAACTAAACATCAAACAAATGTACCCATATCCTAAGGACTGATATTCTTAATAGTTCTGTATCTATTCTGAGGAAGTTCTGTATCTATTCTAATAGTTCTGTATCTATTCTGATTCTGAGGAAGTCAGGAGTCACCATCCCAACCCAACCCCCCACCCCGCAGGAAGAGTCACTGCTGTTAATGATGCCCACTTTCTATGTGACTCACTTCCCCATTTGTCCCCAATGTAATCAATTTTATCTGAGCAATTGATCTTATTGGATAAGCATAGTTCCGTCCCATCTTATACTCATATTTGTTCCACATCTTGAAGCCATCTCAGCCCATGATTTTACTCTATAATAACGTCTCTAAAAAAACAGAGTCTGAGGGCAAGCCACTCAACACCCCTTCTGTCTCTTAGACAGAAGCTTTCTTTCTCCCAGTCTCCATTGTTCCTAAAATTCATTCTTCGATTTTAGAGAACATGAACTCATACTGGACATATATAGTAGGTTGGGAGCTGCATTCCCTTATATCACTGTTGTCCTTGTTCTTAAGATGAAAAGTGGAATAGTACAATAATTAACTAACTAATATGGAGATGTATAATAAGTATTTGAAGTGCATTGGTACCTCTAATTCAGATGCCTAAAATAAATTGGATACATTTTCATTTCAAAAAACATTTCAAAACAAACAGGACATTTAGAAAATATTGTTAATGTAGAAATTATCCATGAAGATTGCTATGATTGACACAAGAGTTAAGTATAGAACCTAGAAAA